AAGTCCTTGGGTTTTGACACATATCAATAACTATTGTGTTTGTTTGGCTTTGCAGTGGGGTTCAGGAGACTTCAAATGATCAGTTAGTGGTTGGAGTCCAGAATTATTTGGAGGTAGGTCCTTGCTAATCATACTGTCATTAAAATGAAACTTCTAGGATCACGTAGTTGAGCTACAGATATTATCAAGGATAAATACTACTTTTAGATTGACAATAAAAGACACTTGCATAGTGCTAAACATGCATAATATTCAAAACAACGTGCTTTATAAATTATGTCAGTATACAGGTGGGAGAAACAGGTCAGAGACATCGAAATCCTGATAAAGATGTGAACCCTTCAATGAGACTTGAAAATGAGGCCTCTGAGCCCAGAGCTGTGGTTCTGAGAGCCCCTGCTCAGGTGCTGGCCCACCTGAAGGTGCTTAAGCATGTGAGGTTCATTAGCACTTGTGGCTTTGCTCATTCTTAGCACTGCCTCAGTTCTGGGCAGGTGTAGCTGCTCTGCTTATAGTTTGTGTGCAAGTCCTTTATAGATTTAGAAATTGGATGGTGTGTCCTCCCAGGAGAGGATGTCTCTGGTAGATGTTTCTAAACACAGAACCAAGCACAGTAATATATCCATTATTCCAAATTAAAAAATGCTTAGTTTACATTCTTCTGGGATTCTGATATACTGGGGACAAAATGTGTGATCCTGTTACCACACTCGTTCTTAGGGATTTTCCAGAGGGTGTGAATGGCTTCCAAGACCCAGGTGCCATTTGGGTTGGTGTGAGCATGCCATAGGAGTGTAAAAGACCCACTGTTGTGCCAGCAAGTAGAAAGTGGGTCACTTGCATAGAGTAAATGCCCAGCACACCTGAACATTTGTGTAACCTGGAGGTCATTTAATTATAAGCTGCTGTTGAGCTGCATTCATTTGAGCTGTGCTGGTGAATCTGGAGTTTCTGTGCAAGGCAGGAATCAAAACGAAGCTGCATTATTTCTCTCTCTTGTCTTAGAAGCATAATGTTGTTCAAAATGAAGCGTGTGTCCATTTAGAAGATAAGAGATTGCTGAAGAGGTGGAAACTGATTGCTTTGGGTCAGATCATGCCTTTTTGTTATTCAGTTCTCATTTTTGGTCAGACTCTGTAACCCGAGATCACAAACTGTAGCAGTTTAAAGGTGATGTGCCTACCATTAGCTGCAATCCTGGTGGTGTGAAGGAGCAGAGTTGCTGTCCCGCAGAGCTGCTCTGTGACCGTGGCCAAGACATTCCCACTGTGCCTGGGTTTACTGAGTGAGGGTGATAAGTTCCTGCGTGCTCTTGCTCTGCAGAAGGAAAGTGTGATGAATTATGGTTGGAATAAGCATTCTCAGGGTGTATTTGTGTGGCTTCTTGCCTGAGACCGTTGTGGAGAAAGTATATAAATACTATGCAGATCTTGAAAGAAGAGCCCCAGAGGACTTTATATCTCATTTATCTAATCCTCTGAACCATCCAGTGTCTCAGCCCCAGGCGCCGGACTTTGGGTGAGCCCAGCAGTTGTTTTGCATTATCTGAGTTACTTCTTGTTTTAATAGGTGAGTGGGTAGGATGGGTGATTAAAGGAGAAAAGAAGAAGAAAAGAAAAAGAAAAAGATAAACCTATTTGGTGTTGTCTTTTCACAGTATCAGCACTTTGCAGGCCAGTTCTGGGATATGTGCTTTGCTTTCATGTGGTGGTATTGATGCTGGGCACTGCTGAGCAGGGCTGTGTCTATTAGAACCACATGGGAAGTCTTAAAGCAGCTTTAATAGAAAACTTCTGGGGCCTGTAGGAATTTATCTTCCTTCCTCTGTTTCTGTGCAGCCTTGAACTTCACAACTTTCCAAAGCCAGAAAGGCAACTGAAGGCAAGGGCAAAATTAAATCTGTAATGAGATCCTTACTGTATTCTAAATATGTTCAGACGTTTGTGGTTACAGACGTGCAAATAACCTGTGAGGTGCAGACCTTGTGTTTCGGCAGTTGGGTGTTAAAAGTGTAACAAACTGGTTTGTGTGTACTGCAGCTCTCTGTGTGATGCAGGGTAATTGCTGGACTGGGGCTGAGGAAAAGTCCTGTCTGTGATCTTTTGTCACCCCCAAAGCACTGCATCGTATGGGCCACGGATGCTTCTGTAGTCCTCAGTACTTACATGTAACAGAGCCCTGCAACTGTCTGGAGCAATGGAGACTTGCTTTAGTTTGGGGACAGAGGCAGATACTTGAAGGAGCTTTTAAAGCATCTTTGAGGGTGGTGAGCTTTGCAGACAACGCTTTCTTTGTTTCTTGGAGACAGCGTATTTGTCTTGAAGCACTTGGAAGCCCAGCTTGCTAGTGATGGGTCCAAACCAAAATTCCAGAGCTTGCTTCCCCAGATGGGGAAGTTTGAGTCCTGTGACTTGGCTTCCTGCAGCTCCTGGTGGAGACTTACAAGATGCAGGAGTTTGTGCTCTGGTCTCAGTTCCTGCAAATGTAAAGGAGGATCTCCTATGTTGCACCTTTTGCTCAAGTAAGTAGCTGTTGCTTGTGCTAACAGGCACCATATGCGAGGCCTGCTAGGATCTACAGAATTAAGTTTCCTTTCATGTTTGGTTTGAACCATCTCCTGAGCGTGCTGTTTCCCATTGTGCTGGTAAATGCTGCCCAAAACTAATCTTGCCCACGTGAAGCTCTGCTTCAGCCAGCAGCCTTGCTCTAAGGCCAGATATTATTCCTCAAGGAAGGAAGAGGGGGCATAGGAGAGAAGAGAGAGACAACATGGAGAAACTCCTTACAGTGCAAGGCAGCTTTGGTACAAAATCCTGTGTCATGTCTGCCTCCCCCACCCCCAAAAAAAAGAATAAAAGGGAAGAGATAAAGGAAAATGCACACAGAGAACTGTCATCGTCAGCCCCTGTTTGGATAATAATTTCAGTGGCATAGGAAACACTTTCTTCCAGTAGAAACTGCTTTCTCAGCCTTTTCTTCCTGGCCTTCACTGCAACTTTTATCTGTTCCACTAGAAATGAGCTAGACTTTTAGTTAGTTTCAGTTGACGTAGCACCCATGGAGTCACTGAGGCTGTGATGACTTCCAACCAGAAGCTTGCACGTTATTATTTAGTAGAACACAGCAACTCACAAATCCTGCAGCATCCTCGGCAAAAGAACGCAGTTCCTTGTGTCTGTGCAACTAACACCACATGCACGATGAAACCAGGAAGCAATCCAGCTGCTGTAAAACAGAAATAGACACTTCTTTTTCAGAAACATTGTAATGTGCACTTTCTCTTGAACACACCCATCCACAATTTGACAGGTTTCTTTCGGGGTTTCCCCCGGATGCTCTGTGGAGGTAGGTGGCTGAGTGTCTTGAGGATTTGTTTTATTTGGACTTCAGGGAGAGAAATGGATGAACTTTTGCTTTCCCGCTGTAGGTGGTATACATTAATGGGCCTGTTCTCCATCTCACATCTCCAGCATTTGTACAGAGTGAGAAGAGAACGGAGCTGTGAGTAATAATAGCAATCTGGAATGTGGATCCATATCATTCTGGCACGCAGCAGTGGAAATTTCAGCGTGATTGAAAATATGGAAGTGCTTAGTGAATGAAACCTGTTAGCAGAACAGACCTACTAAATGCAAATAATACTTTCCCCTGCATTGCTGGTATGCAGGGTGTTAGGGGTATAAGCTGATACCATGGGATGCTTGTTGCTGCTCCAGGAATAGGATTGTCTGGAAAGACTAGGACTTCCCAAGTAAAGACTGAATTAAAACGGCTGAGATCTGGCTTAGTGAAAGGCCTCCAGCAGGTGCCAAGCCAAGGCCTCAGTGTTTGTAACACCTGCTAAAGAGAAGGATATTTGTATGCTCTGTGGCTTAAAGAAGGGAGCAGAGATGTCTGAACTCTGAGCACATGGGAGGACAACCCAGCTCCTTTATTCCTGTATCTATTGCTTTTTAGCCGAGTGCCCATGGGTAAAATGCTTCACTTCTGCCTCAGCTTCCCCCACAGGAACCCATAGGTGATACCCAACAGGGTAGGGATTGGGATTAATAGCAGTAAAGCGTTTTGAGTTCCTCAGATGAAAGGAACCCCTGCTTGTTTTAGGGGCTTTTTTTTTCTGAAAGGGCAGGAAAAACTGGTTGATATCTGAGCAATTACTAAATGTAAATAGTGCATCTTTTTTGCAATTCAGTGTAGGTGATATTAACAGATTAAAGTACACAGACACCAGAGGAGGAACCCATCAGCTGCCTGTAGGCTCAAAGGACATCTGGATGGTACAGATATGAGACGTTTGCATAGGTGAAGGAGTATTTCTCAATCGCCTGCAAAGAAGTTCAGCAGTTCAGAAGTTTTCTCTTGAAGGAGATTAATTAGGATGGGATTTAACTGAATACTGAAACTGAAACTGGAGGCAGCAGTTGATAGTATATTAGCAACAGCGTGCCTGTTATGTTGGAGGAAGAATCCACAAACAAAGCTCTCGGCTTTCACAAGCTGAGATTTCTTGTTGACGGTGATCACATTCCTTCTTGTGTGCCCCGCACATGTATCCTTCAGTCATCTCTCCAGAGACGTGTGCCTGGGAGAAAATTGTGCTGGAGGAGGAGGGCAGCTGTGACAATACCATTTATTGAACCCAGCGTTCAGTCCTGTACCTTTGTGGATTCGCTGGCTGACCGAGCGGGTGAAACAACACGGTTTGCCTTGGAGTCTGCAGTCCTCTTGTGCTCTCCAACAGGACTCAGTGCCTGCTGGCAGAGGAGGAGAGATCCACACAGTGTTCCTGTTATCCAGCTTTGTTCAGATGCCGTGCCTGAAAGGGGTTGCAGTGTGGGATCCAAAGGAGTGCTGCATCTGAACTTCTCCAAGCCCATCACAAGGAAGGAGGATGTTTTCCATGTTCTCTCTCCCTCTACCCCCACTCAACTGTGTTCCCACTGGTGGTTTTTTGCCTAAAGAGAAAGGAGGGGGAGAAGAGGGTGGCAAAAGGGAGGAGCTTGGAAAACCCAAATGTGTCTTTGCAGAAACTTTGCTCTTAAAATGCAGCTCCTGCTTTAAGACAAAGTGCTGAGGCACAAGCCAAGGTCTGCTGCGGAAAACTGTTTAATTTCTCTCTGCTTAAGGGTGATAAATAAAGATTTTCTTTGCTAATTGTAACCACATGTGAACTCCAAATAGGAGGATTAGGAAGGGGAAAAGGCTCAGGTCATTTTTGTTCTGTTTCCCAAGCCATTCCCAAGCCCTAACCCTTCCCCTGCAGCTCAGTTACATGTTTCCTTGCTTCCCTGTGCATTTTAACAGTGCATTTCTGAGAGCCCAGAATCCTGTCTGCTCGAATAGTAGGAGTCTGGAAGGCATTTGTGAGTCAGCAGCTCAAACTTTATTGACTCTTGGTACCAAATTAAAATCTAATAAAGACCACTGCTGGGTTCACTACTCAGGAGAGGAGATGGGAAAGAGAAGGAAATTTCTAGTCATTCATCTGGTTTTCTGCTGCTTGTTTTTCATTTTTTCGGATATGCTTCACTCATTCCCTGTAACAGATTACATTGGATTTTCTGTCTAAGAGCCTGTCCTCACAGAGAAAAAAGTTGTACTTCGCAGTGCTCCAGCAACCTACTTTAAAACCTTACTGTAGGCAAGACCTATGGCTTTAACATTGCGTTAGGCAGGTACTGGAATACAAGTTTTCTGACCTGCCAGTGTTTGTCCTTTACCAAGACCCACCCTGGTTTTGCTAAACTTAGGCCATTCTAGACAGACTCTTAAATAGATAGCACCTAATTAACCATGTTAGCATCTCTTTGGCTCCCTCTTTTTTTAATGTGTGCGTCTTGATTAAATGTCACTGTGTTAGTGACTCATTTAGCAAGGTTTTATTTGCTTTCCCAGCAGGAGCCTGTAGTAATTCACCCAGTTGTTTTTTTCAGCCCTTTGTTAGTGGGCAGAATGGAAAGGCAGAAACAGGGTGGGGATAAAAGCCGGCTGTGTGAAGAGGAACAGCAGGGAAAGGGAAACAACAATCCTAGCCACAGGTGGATTATCCAGCAAATCCCTGCCAAAATCCATATGCAGAACCTAAAGGATCTCAATCACTGGCCTTCCCTTCGGCGTTAAGAATAATAAGTTTCAGCTTGTTGCAATATAATTTGGTAACTAATTCTTAAAGTACATCTCAGCTGTGGTGTAATTTTAGGGCCTTTTGGTTCCAGTAAGCTTGAACTCTGCTGGTGTAAATATTGTTTGTCCTTTTCTGCTTTGCTTTCCTTTTCCTTTCTTTGCTTTGCTTTTCCTTTCTTGCTATGGCAGAGGCCTTAGTGTAAGAGAGACATCAGCTGAATATCGAGGCAGCTCTAGCTCAGTACTGATCCTCAGTATTCTCCAGGGGTAGCCCAGTCCTGCATTAATACAACTGTGGATGCAGTGAATAGAAGAAAATTCCATCTTGTGACTGCCAGTGGTGTGTGTTTGTCCAGTGGTTACTTGTACCTGCTGGGATAGCTCGGTGTCAGCTCCTCAGCTACTGGTGTGTTTTGTGAGAGCTGTGCCTTGATTCTTAGGTCTGTTTATATTTCTCAGTGGGACTAATAAATGCATTACATCAGTGCTGTGCTACTACTCATCTGGTCCCCTGGCTCCTCCTCAGCTCTCAGCAATTAATGGAAATGTGTTGCCCTCTGTAGCCCTGCTCCCGTTGGGGATGGGAAAGATCTGCCTGCAGCAATAAGCTGCGGTATTTTACACCATTCTGGCCTGCTCTGGAAGCAAAGGATGCAGCCTGCGCTCCTTCAGGCGTCTTGGCTGATGTCATTCAGACATCACTGCGTGCTCTTTCTGTCCCTTTAAGGCTTGGCTCCTGCAGCTTTTTCAAAGCTACTGAGGCAACCTGAGTCCAGTTCTTAGCAGTAAATTGCAGGGGTGGTGTTTGGATTTAAATGCGTAATTCTCTGTCTTCTTTCCCACTCACCCAATGATACAAAGCAAAGGATGGGGAGTTGAATATTTTTTACTTTGTTTTGTCCACATAAGGAAGCTCATGTGGCATTCTGGATGTTCTGTTCGCGGTGATTTCAGGACAAAAGAGGAGAAGCCACTGATGCTAGAAGTTCCCCAAACAGGCTCCTTTCCATGCCTTTCTTTGCAGCCCCTGGGAAAACTCCCAAATACTTTTCTGTGTGAACAATAAGGAAGCATATAGTCAGCAAGGAGGAGGATGTTTTTTCCTAGCTAGCTTGTGGCGAGTCCTGTATTCATGAATCCCTCTCATGTTGACTTTCAGAAGGCAGCACAGAAGCTAAACCCCATTGTTCCCATCAAGTTCTACATCTCCAGCCGAACAGATACTGGCGTCCATGCACTCTGCAACTCTGCTCACCTTGACATCCAGAGGGCACCGGGGAAGCCGGCTTTTAGTGAGAAACAGCTCATCTACTCTCTGAATTACCACCTGAAGCCTGAGCCAATCCGGTGAGTTGGAGCCAAGTAAAAACCTTTTATTTTACCCTTGTTGGAGAAGGGAGGAAATACAGCAACGCTCTCCTGTCTTCAGTCTGTTCTGTGTGTTGCCAGCTGCTGGATCTTGGTCTTTTTTCCCTGAGTTCAGGCTTGTAACTTGTGAGTTGTGTTGTTTAGCTTTAATGGAATAAGTTCTAGAGAGCTAAAACTACTGTTGTGACCCTGCCATTTTCAATACTGGTGGTCATACAGATACGTAGTTATTTAGCCAGCTTTGGGGATACCTTGACCGATCAGTCCCAGAGCAAATGAGATTGCTGCTGAAGAAAGTTTTACAACTAGTGACCCTCTCAAATAGGAGGCAGCAGCAGGATCTTGCAGGCAGGAAAGGTTTTTTGTCTTGTGCCAAGATCTGACAGGTACGTATTGGGAGATGATAACTTCTGACAGAATGCAACACAGTCCTGATCAGTTAGAGTCTGAGTTTATCAGCATGCAGTCAGCTCTACTTCTCCTTCCTCCCTGGGGCTGAACCTTTTAAAAATGGTTCAGCTGCTTTCTATTAAGGAGCTTGGTGATGAGCATGAGTCTAAGCGTATTCAGCAATGATCCTCTCCCTCTGTAAATATGACTTTGCCAGGAAGAATTCTCTCCTAATGCTGAAGAGAAAACTCAGTCCTTTCATGTGGTTGCAAGCAAGGGGTGATGGAGAGAGGAACCTTTGTGAGAACACATTATTGTCGACAGAACTTGGAAGGGAGACAGGATTCCAAGCTGGCTGGCTGTATCATCAGCAATAATAATCACCTTTGTAGCATGATGGATCTCTTCTATCAACTGATCTGTCTGTTAGATTTGCCAAGTATGTTTGAAAGGACCTTGTTCACAAAGATCAGAGTGTGTTTCGTAGGTGAGGTCACTTTAGGAGGACTTTGCTGTTGCCTAAGTAAGGATCGTAATACAGTAGACTCCTGCCTTCTATTCCTGGTGTCAGTTTTGTAAGCACACAGTAAAAGCTGTCTGGGTGACAAGACAGGGCTGGGATTCCTCCCACCTCCTGCTAATTGATGTCTTCTGACTTTTCTTCCTTCAATCTCCTCTGAAACTCAGGCTCTGCTGAAAAGCTAAGGAATATATTTACCAGTGGTCTTTCAGAAAATGGGATCCTAACAAGGTTTGAAATGTCCTATGTTTGAAATGCTGCTGGAATAAATGCTGGAAAGACATTCCTAGCTAGAAAGAGTCTGTGGTAGCAGTTGCATCTGCTAGGAGAGGCAGGAAAGGATGCCTGTACTGGAGAACCATGTGAGCATAAACAGGCTTTTCTGAAAGAATCACTCTATCGGAGGGAATAAAAGGATGGTTTTTTAATAACAATCACATCAATGTTAACAGGAGAAGCTCCAGATAGATTAAATGCTTGTGGAGGCATGTAGACAGGGGAAAATAAATGTAATAATTATATTATTGTGATTAGAAGAGGCTGGAGGTCCTGGGTTCAAGCTCCATTACAGGCCTGGAGGATGTAATTTACATTTCTACTGAGAGTTTATAGCAGTGGAGAAATTGCCCAGTCTTGTTGTTTGCAAATCTTTGTGGAGGCCTGTGGCTCAGCTTTAATTTCTTCCTCTGTGGTCTGAGCCTTTGCAGTCAAGGGATGTGAGCCAGAGGCACTTGAGCTGGCAAAAGTCCCTGAAGCACCAATGTTTTTAAAATAAATAAATAGGTTTGCCTATTACTTGGTCCCAAATGGTATCATATTTTTTGGCTGCCCTGAGTCCCTTATCCTCACTATGCTGAGCTCCAAAGACAGAAAGGCACACAGCAGGAGAAAAGCTATTTTCTAAGGAGAGGTATCCTCTAAAGTAATGCCTGCAGAGGATTCTGCCTGTGTAACAGTGACTCCTTGCTGTCTGCTCCCTGCAGTATGATGAGTAGCCAGTGCTCTGGGATAAGGGAAAATCAAATCCAGGGATAACTTCTGCTGACGTGTTCACATCAATGATAACACTTTGGGGGAGGTGCAGAAACAGAGAAGCTCTGTTTCTCCCCTTGCCAGAGAGAAGGATGTTTTCTTCTCCGAAAACCTTCATACCCTCCCTTCTGGCTACCCTACTTCTGTCAGTGTTTGATGGTAATGGTGGCATTGGCTTAGAGAAACAAGGCACTTTCTCCCTTCCACTTATAGAAGAAAACAGAGGAGTTCAGCTGCCTAGAAAGCTGCTTCTTGATTTAACTGCCCAAAGTCAGTGGAAGATGAGTTGACGTGAACATTCCCAAAAGCCGTTTTCTGCACATGTGAAACGTGAGGGTATTCAGGAGGTCTCCTGCATGCAGCGTTCTGCTGTTTTCAGATAGACTCAATCTAGGCAGTGGTGGGATGCACCTTTATTTTCACTGCTGCAGCAAAGTCCTGTCTGTCTTGGAGGTTGTGGGGGGGGAGGTGGGAGGGAAGTGACCTAGTTTCAGCTGTCTCCATCTGCTACGATGAGCTGCATAGCTGCCTTTGAGAGGGAGCACAGAGGTAGCTGTTGTTGGGGGAGTACTTCCCACTCGTGTCTGGGACCATGGTTCTGCAGAAGCAGAAGGGCACAGTGTTGGAATGGGGTGCTCCTCAGCTGGGGGTGGAGGAAGTCAGCTTGCTTTGGGAATTTGCTGCTTCTCACCTTAAGCACAGCTAAGAACACGTGCCCACAGCCAGATGCAGTGCAATTTGGTGGGCTGGGTGAAGTATTTGATTTCACTGTGCGGCAAAGAACACACGCTGGCAGTTGCCATTTGTCAAAGTTAGTTTTTGCGTGTATTTGATGACAGGGGTGGTGCCAAAGCTCTTCTGCTGCCTTCTACTTGACAAGTGCCTGTGGCATCCTACAGGTGCAAATCTTCACTGGTTTGTCACTGGCTGTCAGGAGAAAACAATATTTAGTTAATTGTAAGTGCAGTTTCTCAGAGAGTCCATTGCATGTTTCAGTTCCCATCTATGTGGTGACTAGGTGAAAGCTTTTGAATTAGTGTATGAAATTTCTCTTCATCTTGCTCATTCTCTTCTGTCCCAACAGCATTTTGAATGCCTATCGAGTGACCAATAGCTTCCACGCACGCTTCTCTGCACTGTCGAGAACCTACATTTATCGGCTGTTGATCGGCTGCGCTCATCATTCTGAAATACCGGTGTTCGAAAAGGATCTCTGCTGGGCTCCTGTGGGAGGGTGAGTGTGTTCTGTTAGTCCTCCCTGGGGAGCTCTCTCATGAGCACTCTGGAAAGGCTTGACTTCTGGGGCCAAGTGGGGAGGGGGTAATTTCCACATGTCAGTGTGAATCTGGTCTCACAAGATTTTCCTGTTGAAATCAATGCAACTGCACTGAGTTATGTCTGCTAAGACCTGAGACTTGCAGTTCTGTTTGGTTGTGCTGTCAGTTGTACCTGTGGTAAGCACGCTTAGCGCTGCTGAAACACTCAAATGACTCCGAGTAGAGACCATCAACAACTTTGTGTCCCTCCCCATGGAAGTGATGAGCGTTTCCTCAGATGACCTTGCCAGTTCACACAGCAAACCCATTCAGACAGCTGGCTGAAGGAGCAGTGCTCTGATATGATGCAGATAGGCAGAAATGCATTGCATGGCAGATCTCAGAATTTTAGGTGTGACCATGCAGGCAGTCAAGAGTGAAAAGAGTAAAGGCTGAGAATTCTTTGTTTTATTTTATTTTTTCCCCCTAGTCCTATTTCTGGTAGTGGCTGCATGTAAATCTGCTCCCTTATTCCCTGAGTGCCTGTGTGCTTGAATAAGGAGAGCCAATGACTCTGAGCAACCCTACAATAACAAACCAGTGTATCTAGCTCAATATGCACTCGCATTCTTGGAGTAGCCACTGAGTCATAACAAATCATTGCTTGTATATGCAAGGGAAGAAAAACAAATTCAGTGCCGTTTAAAAAAACCAACAAACAGGACACCATAAACAGTGGGTGAGGAAAAACAAACAGAACCCAGAAGCTAATTTGTTATTGTCCTTGAGTGTACGTTGTACTGAGATAAACATACATTCAAGAAAACTGCAGTTTTCCACAACACCGTAGAAAAACAGGTTTGTAGCCAAACTGTTTAGCCAAATGTTCTCCTAACATTAAATTGCTGATTTTCTGTGGGCTGTAGAAAGAAAAAATAAATATGAAATTGCAGAATTAGATGTTACGTGTGCCATGTGCCTTAATCTTGGGCTTTGTGAAATAGCATTTAATTAACTGTGGTTAATTTTCTCAAATGGCAATACCACATAAAGGACAGGGTGAATGTATTAGAAATTCTGAATGGGAGGTTTCTTACTGAAAGGTGGGATATTTGGACTGCTAACGTTGTGGAGAAGCTCACAGTGTGTTCACTACTGAGCATGTCTGGTGTATAAAGCACATAATACACCTTAAACTTCTGTAGGCATCTCAATTGCCAGCTAGGTGCCATCAGTGCTTCTCAGTGTGACCAGGATTCTGTAAGCACTAGTCTTTCTTCTTGAATGCAGTGAAAAAATTTAATGGTATTGGAAAAATATCTTTGGGGTTTTTTTAGTTTGTTTTATTGAGAAACAATTTGGCTCCTGTTACAATCTGAGAAACTTCAGCCATAGATCATGCATACTTGCGCAGGCTCTTCTTAAGAGGAATTTACAAAAATAGAGTAAAAATAAGCATCTGTTCAGCAAATGTATCCATAAATCTGTTGAAATTCCTTTGCTTGAGACTATTTTGAACAAACCTAGATACTTCAGATGAAGAAATCTGAAGGACACTTGATATCCTGAGTTTCACCCTTGGCCCTTTCTTTTGCATCTCCACCTTGGGTTTACGCTGGGTTTATCTCTGACAGTTTGCTCACCCCTTCCATTTCTGTTACTTCCTAATTTCGTTTTCTAGCTATTGCAAATCTAAGGTTTGGAAAACCATCAAAGTGTTTGATATTTTCTTACCTGCCAACATCTTTTCCAGTTTATAAGATCCAGATACTGCAAAGGATTTTGGTTCTCTTGCCCTATGCTCTAGCCAGCAGTTTGAGTAGTTATTTCAATTCAACTATTATAAGAAGCACAGCAGCATAAAGGTTTGGGTAGGTTTGGTTCTGAATACCTTCAGACCTCATGTCACTTGGCATCTTGGTTTGTAGTTTGGGCCATTACAAGACAAACTCCCATCTTGCAAAACATGCTTTTGCAGTGCTGCGATGTGGAATCCGTGTGCCGGGTTTAAGCTTCTCATCAATCAATTGGACTGTGACCCACCTGACATACGTGGTCTCATCTGATGCTCCTTTCCTTTTGCTCCGCATGTTTAATTTCAGCTACCTGAATGTGCCTGCCATGCAGGATGCAGCACAGTTCCTGCTGGGAACCCATGACTTCAGCACCTTTCGCTCAGTTAACTCCGAAACACCGTTTCAGTCTCCCATCAGAACCATCCTCCAGGCAGACATCCAACCCTCTTCTGGTTTCCTATCCCACCACTATGAGCACAGGTGAGAGGATGTTTCTTTCCCTCTCCTTCCCAGTGTCCTCAGGGAGAAAGATGAGCAGGA